CCTATACTGAAATATTTTTCACTGTTGGTGTTTACCTTCCTTTCTACTTGATATTTTTAGTTGCATTTCTTTGTTATTTTTGTGTTTAGTTTTGGTTTTTTTATATTTATTTTTTGTATTACTCCTTTTATATGTACGATGAAATTAGATGCAATATTGGAGATATGTGCTGAAAATTCCACACTGTACCACAAGTACTGTTTCTGGAATAAAAGGGAAATTATTATTATTGTTGTAAAATCTAATATTTATTGATTTTTACGAGTTGATCACGGATTGATATCAGTTAGAGAACCATTGTAAACCCTCACTTGAGTACTGGACAGCTGTTTCATCCTAGTTTAGGAATCATCGGCAGTATGCACCCACCGATCGAATTCAAACCCGCCACCTTCTGGTTACAAGGCTAGCGAGCTAGTATACCATTCGGCCACTGGAACCCAATTCAATGGTTGATGAATTCTAATTTCTACCATTTCGTGATTTAGCACGACCCCAACTAACCCTTACAAACCAAATTGTAGCAAATTAATTGGATGCTCGCTAGTGAATTGCTAAAGGATGGAGTTTCCTGGAGTTCAGATGAGAAGTCGGGGCCAGTGAGGTTCATCCAGATGCCACGTGTGAGGATGGATGTCTAACCTACGACAATGGTTGAGGTAGGGCTAAATCACGAATTGGTAGAAGTTAGAATTCATGAGCCATTTAATCGCGTCCCAATGGCTAAATGGTACACGAGCTGGCATGTCTTGTAACTGGAAGGTCCTGGGTTCAAACCGCTGGCGGTGGGTGCATACTGTCGATGATTCCTAAACTACGATGAAACAGCTGTCCAGTACTCTAGTACTGATTTTCAGTGGTTCTCTAACTGATATCAATCCATGATCAACTCATTAAAGCAAAACTAACCTTTACAAACCAAACTATAGAAAGTTTATCGATTAACTGATGCTGGTTTGTGACGAATTCTTTACAAATACAATAATCTGAATATAAATCATGAGGTCATAGACGGCTGCTTGATAAGTGTTCTTAAGCTTTAATGAGAAGTCGTAAGAGTTGGGTTATACCATGTAAAGGTGAAGTAGGTACTCTCAATGAAGGCATTGGTGAGGGTAGTACCGTATCGTAAACTGACCAAAATCAAAATTCACGGGTCATTGAATTCTAGTCCAAATGTTCGAATGGTCGATGACCTTTGTTACATAACATGAGGATCCAGGGATCGATCCCTGGGGGGGGGTCGTGAGCTTGTACAACTCACTGAAGAGTACCAAAGAAAACATGACGAAACAGCACTTCAATGCTGTGTTGATTTTCACTGACCCCTCTAACTAATGTTTCTTAGTGACGAAATCTAACAATCACAATATTTATTACATTTATTTGACACCAAAAATAACGACATGTTTCAATGAATGCCTTAAAACGGTCTAAGTTTAAAAAAAAATTAAATTTCGGTGAATTTAAAATGAGTTGCTTTGTTTTGAAACCGAAAGCAGAAACATTTTTCAAAATTTGGTACCTTCATGACCTTCATTGGCGATTCGATCACTCACTGATTTCAGTTAGAGAATCATTAAAAGCCGGAGAGCTGTTTCGCCCTCCGTCTGCTCTCTGTTCACTGGGAGTCCTTTTCTCGTTGCCTTTTCAGCCAGTTTGTTGGTTGTGTTTCCTAATTCTTGAAGGTAAAATAGGAGTAGTCGTGGAGACACAGAGTACTCCTGCTGCATTGAATGCTCTTTTAATTGTAATCATCAAGCACTGTGTTTCTATGTGACTGATGTTATCATCAAAGAACTTCAGTTTTACAAACAAAAGCTTCTTTGCAGTTGTTCCTATACTGACTTGAACACTGCATGATTGAAGAATTATTTTGTGGGGTATCATTTTATGTGCAAGTAAATAAGTTCACAGTTAGCTAGTAGGTGAGAGTAACGTCATTAAAAAACACTTGTGGACAATTAAATACGTGAATCAGTATATAGACATTTAATAAGGTTAGTGAATGAAGGCACGAATTAGAAACGGAAGGGTATTCTTTTTATATATTATTCATTTATCCCTTGAGTTCCTAATGGAACACACGGCTTCAACTGCACGTCTCCACTTGCCACTTCTGTCTTCTGATCTTTTTTTCACCTGCATCCATCTTAGTCCATACTCTTTCAACTCAACAGGCTGCTTCACACGATCTCCTGCATGTCAACATTGCGCTGATGTTCCACTCACTGCTTCCCTTTTGGGTTGCACTCGAGCAATGGCCTGACGCGCTCGCGATGTCACCCAGCGGCCTCCTCAGGGAGCGTCCAGTCCATCTCCATCCACTTTCTCCTGCATATTTGTTGGGCGATTGCTTCTTGTTTTGTTTGTTTTCTCCCTTAGTTTCTTGTTAGTGATTCTTTCTGGCCCGGCTATCCGATCTTCAGTATAAAGCGGAGACAGTTGTTGATAATGGTCTGCAATAACCTGTTGGAAATATTCCTTGTAACCCGCCCGCAAAGTTACTGATCCGTTCCGTATAGAAGAACTGACTGACTTGACGTTGTTTGTAGTGAAAATCCGACTGAATTTTGTCGTTGATGCTGAGAGCATTCTAGCGTATAATTAAAATAGTAATAATAACTGTAACGATCAAAACTTGTATTTCGTAATCTGAATGCAGGAAAATCGATCTTTGAGCCTTAATTTGTAGCTGATCATGACTCCTTTGAAACATACACTCACAAAACGATTAAGGGATAGAGAAACATACTATAATTCTCAAGCATTGGTATGTAGCGATTTTGTTCGATTTGTTGAAGGATTTCATCACCACTTGACATCGGTTAGAGGACCATTGAAAAACCAGCTGGGAGTACTGGACAGCAGTGTTTCGTCAGCCTAATTTGAGACCCTTATTCAGCAGTACGCAGCCACCGCCAGGATTCAAACCCATAATTTCCTGGTGACAAGGTGAGCTCACGGACCATTAAGTTACTGGGAACTGGTCCAATGGCCAGTCCATGAATTCTAACTTCTGCCAATTTACGACATGACATAGCTAATAAGCACTGTGATTCGTCATAAGATCCATTTGGTTCTGCTTATTAATAATCAGATCAAAAACTGAAAGTCACATAATTGATATGATTTTGAACAATAAGTTTTGTTCGAAACTTCATTTAGTAAATAATACTGTTTCATCACTGTGTGATACATTTAATGAACAAACTAATATGGAATCACATAAACAACGCCGTTTGGCAGCTATCCATTATGGAACATTTTCTAATATAAAATGAGTACTGTGTGAAAAAATCAGCTAACTAAAATTCATTTGTATGTAGTGTTAGAGAATAAAGTAGAATATCCAAGTATTCGTTTGTAGAGATTTGATGGATTGGTTACAGGATTGGATAGGTTCCTAGTGGCCTCATGGTCTACGACCTCCGAGCCTTGTAACCAGTAGGTGGTGGGTTCGAACCCTGTGGTGTGCGTGGTGATGAAGAGTTCCAAACTAGGCTGACGAAGCTGTCTCTGTCTGTCTGGATTCAACATAGAACTTGGCACCGAAGTGCAGAAGTTTGAGTTGCCACCTTCCAAATAGCACACAGAGGTAGACAAGAAGATGAGTGAAGAGAATCAATACAGTCTGACAAGTATAAGAGTGAAACAGAATGGGTAATGGTAGAAAGGAATATGAAAGATTAAAGAGACTGAATACATCTGCGCTGGTCATTGACAACGATTTTGAGCCATATCACCTATTGTCTCCAGCCATTGATTCCTAGAGTCCCGAGATCCCCAACCCGAAAGTCTGAATCTCCTACCCTACCTGACTTAGTTTAACTGTCAAGGATTTCATGGATTGATGAGGCCATGTTTTTGTTTGGCCACCACTGGCTCTTTTCCAATCTGAACCTATATCAGCTAGCAATGCCAGTCGGGGGAGGCGGTGGTTAGGCATGCGCAGCACGTGACCTAGCCATCTTAGTCTATGTAACTTTATAGCCTCGTCGATTGAGTTTCCCTCTTTGCCCAACACTCTACGCCTAACGTCAACATTACTTATCTTGTGAAACCACCTAACGTGAGACAGAGATCGCAGACATCTATGATCGAAAGCAGTCAACCTTTTCATGTCTTCAACTCGTATTGTCCATGTTTCAGAGCCATAGACAAGGACGGAGCGAACTGCTGAGCAGTACACACGTCCCTTGGTTGATAGCCAGCCGGACGTCACGCCTACGCCAGAGATGGTGTAAGTCAGCGAAAGCAGCTCGAGCTTTTCGGATCCGTGCTGAGATTTCACCGCCAATCAGTCCGTTGGTGCTAATAAAACTGACGAAGCAGCTTTTCGGTACTTTCAGCTGGTTTTCCAATGGTTCTCTAACCAACGTCAGCTCATGATGAAATCCTGTAAAGTAGAATACTCCAAACGAGATAGGATCAAAACTCTCTCAGTCAGAATCACACACGAAACATTTCCCACAGACAGTCCAAGGCCAAAATGACCTTGATTCAGTCATAAGAAATCACGTACACTAACACGTCTGTCGATCGCACAAAAACAAAGAGATAATTTAATTAAACAGGGAAAAAGACAAGTAATAATGATTGAGTTAATATATAATACTCAAATATAAGAACAATCATATACCGTCTAAAAGAAAAAAAAGGTAACAGTCACAAGATTAGTGAGATCGTTCAAAGAAGACTTATCAAATAATTATTCCGTTACAGTGATGATTTATCTCGGAGCAAACATCTTTTCATTAATTACTTTTGTTAGCCTTCTATGCGTTATATTTATTCTTTGTTATCATTATTTTATACCATGGGAATTAGGTTGAGAGAATGCACTCAGGATATCTCATCACTGATTGGATTATACCATCTCTTTTATGGATTATCCTAATTCCAAATAATTTACAAATGATTATACTAATCTCTGAAGATTTTTCTGTTGATGCCTATTCATCACTATCGACGTCTACTGAAAAAATGAACAAGGTAATATGTACGCGAGGCAAATCGACAGTCATGATGATTTCAACTATGCTGAATCAACAATACCTCAATATCCTTTACGATATTCTATTACAGAAAATCAACCCATCCAACTGAGAATCAGTAAAATAGATGATGATCTTGTAAAACTACCTGAAATGCCCTCTGAATTACTCAAACTTCTACAATCATCTAATAAACCTATGCTGTACTATCGATTAAGGGAGCCATCGAATTATTTCCATGTAAATGAGACAACCAGTGAATTGACAACAAAAACTGTACTTGATTTGGAGGCTTTATGTCCTAGATACTGTAAAGAAGATGGGTTTGACGCTGTACTGACTATCTATGTGGATGTAGTGACAACACATTTTCAGATAGTCTGTGTTGTAAATATTGAAATTACAGTGACTGATTTAGATGACAATTCGCCTATATTCCCATCAACTGTACCTAGACCATATCTACTGAAATTAAAAGAAGTCATCTATCGTGCTGGTAAACATGTGATCTACCAAGTGCAGTGGATAAAGATGTTCAACCGAATCATGCTAAACTAGTTTATCGACTTGAATCCCTTCCCGGTGACGAGTCCGGTGCACTGGATACATTTCTCTTGGTTGTACGGAATGACACACGTCTTGCACTTGTCTTACAAAAAGATTTAGATTATGAATCTGTCAAAGAATATCGATTTTTCTTAGTCTGTTCATCTTTACACATCAAAAGTGATAATAACTCGCATTCAATGAGTACAGTGAGTACAGAGGATCGATTAGAAATTATTGTAGAAGTGTTGGATATAAATGATATTGAACCGACGTTTGCAAAAAGCGTTTATGAAATACAAGTTAGAGAAGACGTTCCGGTAAATTCAACCATTTATCAAGTAAGTATTATTACCTATTTTGTTTCTTTATATTCCTCTATGACGAGGTATTCAAAACTTCAGTAGCACTGTTTATCCGATTGCCAAATAAACATTATCCCCTTTTTCAAATAGAATTAAATATCAAGGACTATTTCGCTAGGATTCGTTTGAATAGAGATTTGATTACCAGCTGATATCAGTAAGAACATCATTGAGAAACTGAGAGTATCGACCAGCAGTGCGCACTCATCAAGCCATGTAAGAGGTCAGTTACTGGACTATGACACTGGCTAGTGCTTGCATTATATATATATTGACTAATGGAAAATTCCCATTGTAACATATAGAAATTCAAAACCCGTGATTCAGCTAAGAGACTCTTTTCAACGAATTTATCATCAAGCTGTACAGTCGCATATAGATGGTTTTTAAGAAGTTTTATCCGGTGAGGGAATTGAATCATAGGTGTGCATGCATAAAATAATAATAATAGTATGAAATGTAATTAAAATCTAAAATGTTTCTGAATTGTAATCATAGTCAAATGTCAAGTGACAAATCAAATTAATGTCATATATAGAATAATTCATAGGAGGGATAGAACTTGAAAAAGATGTGCAATTATAGGAATAAATCAAAAAACGTTACGTAATGTCGTGTGAAATTTGGTAGCATAGAATTTAATGTTGTAGACAAGAATTTATTTAGAATGACAACTGGAACAAGAGAAATAATACCGGGGACAGTTCAAAGTGAGAGTAGTAATAGTAACAATTGACGTTATAAGGAAGAGTACACAAACTGAATAGACAAAATGAAAAATTGGTAGAGCCAAAATACTATCAGGGATTAACATACTTTAGCACACAGGGATTAAGACCATGAAAGTTGGAGGGGTTGAACGAACCTTTTCTGTACACAGAGATCTGGCTTTTTTGTTTCGATAGCCAAGCTTCAGCAATACAGATGAGTCGGGTACGTAGGCATTTGGGTAAATTACTCTTTGCGTTGTACATGACTTTAAACGTTAAATTCTATGATATTAAATTTCACACAATATTACGTAACGCTTTTATTTTATTCGATTTGTCTACTAATCCTATAATTAAGGAATAAGCGTGTGCACAGGTTGATTACGTCACAGATTGTTAAAGAAAATAAAACAATTTGGACAATGACAATTTGTAGCTAAACTTGAAGTGGTCATAAGAATAAAATAATTTTTTACAAGGATAACACGTAATTTGAAAGCTACAATTGTCCAAATTATTTTATTTTTCTGACTACTTCATCTTTAATTACGTGTTATCCTTGTAAAAAATTAATCCTATAATTGCACACCTTTTTTAACTTCTATCTATTCTTTGAATTATTCTTTGGTGCGTCGGTAGCACAGTGGTTAGGACGTTCGCCGACCATGCACATGGTCCGGGGTCCGACCTCCGGCCACCGATGCACTCCTTTACCTCGCTAAAACAGAAATACTGCTGGTAAAGAGGAAAGGTTAAGTAGGGGGCTAGCAACCCCATCCTGTAAAAATAAACACCACTGCTACAGAAACTTCAAGCCACTAGCTTGAAGGTGCCCTATGTTCCACTGGGGAACGTGAAGGAAAAAAAACAATTCACGAACATTTAAGTTTTTAATTACATTTCATACTGTTATTATTATTTTATGCATTCACACCTATGATTCAATCCCCTCACCGGATAAAACTTCTTAAAAACCATATATATGCGACTGTGCAGCTTGATGATAAATTCGTTGTTGAAAAGAGTCTCTTCTCTGAATCAATTGATTTGATTTTCTTTATATATATATATATCACTAATCGGCAGAAGCCAGAATTCATGGGTCACTTTGTCAGATCCCATTGGCTGAATGATCGAAGGGTTCGCCTTGACGCTGGGAGGTTTTAGGCTTGAATCCCTGTGAGAGCATGCTTCAGGATAAGAGTCACAAACTAAAAGGAAATGACTGTTCAGTACTGATGTCAGTTGGTCACCTCACTGCTTAAGATGAGTCATAATCACATAAATGTTTGGTGCTAATGGAGACTGGTTCAATGCTAAGACATGGTATTTTGGTAATATTGGCTAGCAGCTGAATTAGGCTGTGGAATTTGCGTAAAGTGAATGCAAATCAGCTTTTCATTTTTAAATACACTATTTAGTCGGTTTCAAAATTACAGTCACACGACTAATACAAAAAGAAGCCAATTTTTTGTTTGAAAATCTGCGTTTCATTTATATCAAAGTGATTGACAACATGAACACACCATCATCTTCATTCTAGAGTTAGGAAGTTACTCATGAGGAAATATTTTCTGTTTGAAACTACGGATATCTGAAAGTCTACTATAGTCCATTTGATAAACAATCGAATATTTCATCTTTTCATCGCTTCAATGATAACAACATTGAATAGTTCGACTCAGGTAAGTGATTTGTCGACAATAAGACGAACTTCCTACAGGTTCGGTACCTGCCTAGCGAACTCCTAATTCCTTCCTAGTTTACTAGCCATCAGTGAACTGAAAAAAAGCAGAAGCTGGACATAAGCACAGCAGTCACATTACGCAAATACATTACGTTCAGTTTAGCTAAATTTCAGATATTCCCGTCGATTGATTGGACCGAAGTGCTCGGTCTCAGGTTGACATGTCGGCTTCTTGTGCAGATGCTTTGACGATGTCAGAGCATTTAATTATCATTTAATTGGTGGATGGTGACTAGCAGTGGAATCGATCCAGGATGCGCGTTTCGTCCTATTTGGGACTCGTCATTTGGATGTACCTGCAGTTTCTTGGTGAGTGATAATGTTCCCACCGAGGCCTGAACCCAGTGGCCGTAGTTTCCAACACCAAAGCGTTATTCACTAGACCAGACATCGTCGAAGCATCTGCACATGAAGCCGACATGTCAACCTGAGACCGAGCACTTCGGTTCAATCAATCAACGGGAAAATCTAAAATTCACTTGAATGGTTAATATGACCCATTGCGTAAGAAGTGGCCAGCTCTAATGATCTCAGTGGTCTAGTGGATAACGCTTTGTCGTTTGAAACTATGAGAACTGGGTTCAAGCCTGGGTGCGAACATCATCACTCACTCAGAAATTGAAGACGAGTTCCAAATAGGACAAAATGTGCATCCTGGCTCGATTCCACTGCTAGTCACCATCCACCAATTAAATAGATTACGTTCAGGTTTCGTTCCCAAAATTTTGAGGATTCTGGACTGATAATGCAAAACATCTGGAACCGACTCTCGAAGTCACTGACTGATTGTTAAGTTTAGAAACGTAGGTATATGTACAGACAGCGTGGTTGCATTTTTAGTTGTAAATGAAACCTGTCTTCAATGACTCCAGGAGTAATGATTCATATTAATAACACTTGTGGTCACCCACTCACAGTTTATCTTTTTCATAAATGGAATGGTACATGTATTTACACTGTTCAGTTTTCAATTTCAGTTGATATGCACATCAAAAGTGCGCGTTCTAAGACTGTTTTAAAGTATATCTTGGTTTTCAGTTTGATGATCTCCAAATGGATGGATATATAAAAACGTTTGTGTCTTAAGGCACGCGTTAACTGTAATATGATATGACTTTAATCGGTAGTGATACTTTTATCCTTTGTAGATTCTCATTTGAATTTATTCCATATGATTTTATCTTCGTCCAGAATCTCCGAGTAAATTGAAAATTTCACCGTTGCCTATACATATAATCTGATTTTACATCTAGGTAGTTTCTAGCCAAAGTCCTATGAGTTTCACGGCTGAGTTATAACAGAATTGTTCCAACTTGATTTTGAGGCGAATGGAAAATAACTGATTTGTTAAAATTCCTCACAGTTGTAATTTAAAGGCTTCAAATGAAAGCTACAGTGTGTGTCGGTGGTTCTGTAGCAGAATGCTAGCCAACTATGCAAGTTGATCAGCAATCGATTCTCGTCTGACGCACATACTTACCTCCCTTAGGTAGTTGTAAGTCGAAAATGGAGGATAGTTTTGGGCGTAAGGCTAGCAACTCCACCTCGTTGAAGATATACCACTGCTACTGAAACTTTTGAGCTCTCTAGCTTGAAGCCATTTGTGTTACTGGGAACTCATAGGAATAAATGAGAGCTATGTATATATTATTCATGTGTCACTTTAAAGAAAAGTCACAGGGAGATATGTGACTGTTTGACTGATTTTAGTTTTAGGCATTATTAGATAATGAAGTTCGCAAATGTAGTGCCAATTCTAGTTGCTATATGACGTGGGTTACTCACCAAACAACATACATGACTGCCAGATTTCCGTTGACACACACTGTGAAGTAGATAGTCACATCAGTTACCGTCAGGATATTAGTGCATGTATTCTGGAGTCTTGTTCTGATGAAGGCACTCCTTTTTTGTCGTCACCTTCGTCACCTCGCTTACAAAATCCGGTGTTCCACAAGGTGCTGTCCTCTCTCCTTTTCTTTTTTCTTTCTTCCTACATGACCTGCCTCATTCAAACGAAACTAACTTTGTCAAATATGCAGATGATCTGACTGTATCACTGCCTATCACTTCCGAGTCTGACAGCTCCAAACTTAATAGCTTTCTGTTGGACATCAACAACTGGTCCAAGTCAAATGGTCTTATATTAAATCCTTCCAAATGTCAGGTGCTTGACTTTACTTTCAAGCATCGACGTGACTTACTTGAACTAGTTAACTCTCATGATCCCTGTAGCATAGATGGCACGGAAATTGAAACCAAATCAAGTATTAAATACCTTGGACTAGTTTTTTCCTCTGACCTTTCATGGTCATCCCATATCTTATCTATCTCTAAGAAAATGTTTCGTCTTACCTTCTACATTAAAAAGTTAAGACAATCAGGTATCAATCAACCTTTAGTTTTGCAATTTTTAAACTCCTGTATTTTACCTATTGTACTCTACTGCTCTCCATTAATCTTTCCTGGGCTGCTCAAAAAAGATTATATCATATTACGAAGAGTATTAAATGCTGTGA